CGCGTCCTCGGCCGCCGGGCTCTCCGCCATTGCGGCCTCGGCCCGCGCCGCTTCCGGGACTCCGCACCACCGAGGCGCGCGGCCAGAGCGGCCCCGCGCCGCCCACGCTCCCCGCCCCCGGCACCATAGAGCGGCGGGAGGAGCGGCTCTTCCGTAGGGGCGCCGCGGGGGAGGCGGGGAGGGCGAAGTGGCGACAGCGCCCCCTGGCGGGGGGGAGGCCTGGAGGGAGAAAGGGGAATTTGGGGGTTTTTGGGGGGAATTTGGGGTTTTTGGGGAAAGAGGGAGTTTGGGGAACGGCGGGATTATGGGAGCACAAGGGCCGGACGGGATCATCCCGCTGGCTCCTTTCCTCTCGGGATCCTCGCTGGTTCCGGCTCACCGCAGCCAAGCGCTGCTCACCGTGCCCCGGGTGTCGCCTCCGCGCCGGGGCCGGGCAGCCGCGCCGGGGCTGCTCCGGTTTGGGACACCGGGAATTCTGTATCCCGGGAACCCTGTGTCCCGGGAATCCTGTATCCCGGGAACCCTCTATCCCGGGAATTCTGTATCCTGGGAACCCTGTATCCCGGGAATCCTGTATCCCGGGAATCCTCTATCCCGGGAATCCTCTATCCCGGGAATTCTGTATCCCGGGAATCCTATATCCCGGGAACCCTGTATCCCAGGAATTCTGTATCCCGGGAATCCTATATCCCAGGAATTCTGTATCCTGGGAACCCTGTATCCCAGGAATTCTATATCCCAGGAATCCTGTATCCCGGGGATCCTGTGCCTCATTTCCCAGGAATCCTGTTTCCCATTTCCTAGGAATTCTGTATCCCGGGAACCCTGTACCCCATTTCCCAGGAATCCTGTATCCCAGAAATCCTGTTTCCCATTTCCCAGGAATTCTGTATCCTGGGAATCCTGTATCCCGGGAATTCTTTATCCCATTTCCCAGGAATCCTGTATCCCAGAAATCCTGTTTCCCATTTCCCAGGAATCCTGTATCCCGGGAATCCTGTATCCCAGGAATCCTGTATCCCATTTCCCAGGAATCCTGTATCCTGGGAATCCTGTATCCCAGGAATCCTGTATCCCATTTCCCAGGAATCCTGTATCCTGGGAATCCTGTATCCCAGGAATCCTGTATCCCATTTCCCAGGAATCCTGTATCCTGGGAATCCTGTGCCCCATTTCCCAGGAATTCTGTATCCCATTTCCCAGGAATCCTGTATCCCGGGAATCCTGTTTCCCGGGAATCCTGTATCCCGGGAATCCTGTATCCCGGTAACCCTGTGCCGCCCTCCCAGAGGATCCCTGTAACCCAGCCCAGTGACTGTGTTGTTCTGGAACATTCCCACAGCGCTGTCCCTGCCTGGGTGGGGTCCCACATTCCCGCCCGGAATCCAGGGAATTGCCCCCGTCCCGTCCCTTCCGTCTCCACAGCCAAACCTTCCTCCAAACCTCGGAGCTTTGTGAGCGAGTCCTCCTCAGAATTCCGTCAGGAATTCCACCCATCCCCATTCCCAGGGATGTCCCCAGACAGAGCCACCAGCTCCCTGTGTCCCATCCCCATGTCCCGTTCCCATTCCCAGGAATGTCCCCAAACAGAGCCACCATTCCTCGTGTCCCATTCCCAGGAATGTTCCCAAACAAAGCCACCAGCTCCCTGTGTCCCATCCCCATGTTCTATTCCCATTCCCAGGGATGTCCCCAAACAGAGCCACCAATCCCAGTGTCCCATCCCCATTCCCATCCCCGTGTCCCATTCCCAGGAATGTCCCCAAAGAGAGGCACCATTCCTCGTGTCCCATTCCCAGGGATGTCCCCAGACAGAGCCACCATTCCCTGTGTCCCATTCCCAAAGATGTCCCCAGGAATGTCCCCAAAGAGAGCCACCAATTCCCTGTGTCCCATCCCCGTGTCCCATTCCCAGGAATGTCCCCAGGAAAGTCCCCAGACAGAGCCACCATTCCCTGTGTCCCATTCCCAAAGATGTCCCCAGGAATGTCCCCAAAGAGAGCCACCAATTCCCTGTGTCCCATCCCCGTGTCCCATTCCCATTCCCAGGAATGTCCCAAGGAATGTCCCCAAACAGAGCCACCATTCCTCATGTCCCATTCCCAGGAATGTTCCCAAACAAAGCCACCAGCTCCCTGTGTCCCATTCCCATGTCCTGTTCCCATTCCCAGGAATGTCCCCAAAGAGAGCCACCAATTCCCTGTGTCCCATCCCCGTGTCCCATTCCCATTCCCAGGAATGTCCCAAGGAATGTCCCCAAACAGAGCCACCATTCCTCATGTCCCATTCCCAGGAATGTCCCCAAACAGAGCCACCAATCCCTGTGTCCCATCCCCATTCCCATCCCCGTGTCCCATTCCCAGGAATGTCCCCAGGAATTTCCCCAGAGTCACCAGTTCCCTGTGTCCCATCCCCGTGTCCTGTTCCCATTCCCAGGGATGTCCCCAGACAGAGCCACCATTCCCATGTCCCATTCCCTGTGCCCCATTCCCATCCCTATCCCTGTGTCCCGTTCCCAGGAATGTCCCCAGACAGAGCCACCATTCCCATGTCCCATTCCCAGGAATGTCCCCAGGAATGTCACCAGTCAGAGCCACCAATTCCCTGTGTCCCATTCCCATGTCCCATTCCTAGGAATGTCCCAAGGCATGTCCCCAAAGAGAGCCACCATTCCCATGTCCCATTCCCAGGAATGTCCCCAGGCCAGGAATGTCCCCAGACAGAGCCGGAATGTCCCCAGGAATGTCCCCAGACAGAATTCCCAGGAATGTCTCAAGCAATGTCCACAAACAGAGCCACCATTCCCTCTGTCCCATGTCCCATTCCCAGGAATGTCCCCAGGAATGTCCCCAGACAGAGCCGGAATGTCCCGTGTCCCATTCCCATGTCCCATTCCCAGGAATGTCCCCAGGAATGTCCCCAGACAGAGCCACCATTCCCATGTCCCATTCCCTGTGTAATCCGTGGTGGAATATCCCCAAACATAACCACCAATCCCTGTGTCCCATTCCCATTCCCATTCCCAGGAATGTCCCCAGCGATGTCCCCAAACAGAGCCACCATTCCCATGTCCCATTCCCTGTGTCCCATTCCCAGGAATATCCCCAAACATAACCACCAATCCCTGTGTCCCATTCCCATGTCCCATTCCCAGGAATGTCCCCAGACAGAGCCACCATTCCCATGTCCCATTCCCAGGAATGTCCCCAAGAATGTCCCCAGGAATGTCCCCAGACAGAGCCACCAATCCCTGTGTCCCATTCCCATGTCCCATTCCCAGGAAATGTCCCAAGGATTGTCCCCAAAGAGAGCCACCATTCCCATGTCCCATCCCCGTGTCCCATCCCCATTCCCAGGAATGTCCCCAGACAGAGCCACCATTCCCATGTCCCATTCCCTGTGCCCCATTCCCAGGAATATCCCCAAACATAACCACCAATCCCTGTGTCCCATTCCCATGTCCCATTCCCAGGAATGTCCCCAGACAGAGCCACCATTCCCATGTCCCATTCCCTGTGTCCCACTCCCATGTCCCATTCCCAGGAATGTCCCCAGACAGAGCCACCATTCCTCGTGTCCCATTCCCTGTGTCCCACCCCCATTCCCAGGAATGCGCTCCCATTCCCGGGAAGGTCACAGCCGCTGCCGGAGGCTCCGGGCAGGAGGAGTGGCTGCGTTAATTAATGTAATTACTTCAAGAGGTTAATTACGAGCCAAGCTCCCTCCGGGCTCCCTTTGCTGAAAGGCGTGGCCGCCTCTCCCAAAATCCCGGGATTTTTGGGTGGGATTTGGGAATTTCTCCTCCCTGACCCACTCTTAAAGGACTCCTCTCCCAGAATCCCGGGATTTTTGGGTGGGATTTGGGAATTTCTCCTCCCTGACCCACTCTTAAAGGACTCCTCTCCCAGAATCCCGGGATTTTTGGGTGGGATTTGGGAATTTCTCCTCCATGACCCACTCCTGAAGGACTCCTCTCCCAGAATCCCGGGATTTTTGGGTGGGATTTGGGAATTTCTCCTCCCTGACCCACTCTTAAAGGACTCCTCCCCCAGAATCCTGGGATTTTTGGGTGGGATTTGGGAATTTCTCCTCCCTGACCCACTCTTAAAGGACTCCTCCCCCAGAATCCTGGGATTTTTGGGTGGGATTTGGGAATTTCTCCTCCCTGACCCACTCTTAAAGGACTCCTCTCCCAGAATCCCGGGATTTTTGGGTGGGATTTGGGAATTTCTCCTCCCTGACCCACTGTTAAAGGACTCCTCTCCCAGAATCCCGGGATTTTTGGGTGGGATTTGGGAATTTCTCCTCCCTGACCCACTCTTAAAGGACTCCTCTCCCAGAATCCTGGGATTTTTGGGTGGGATTTGGGAATTTCTCCTCCCTGACCCACTCTTAAAGGACTCCTCTCCCAGAATCCCGGGATTTTTGGGTGGGATTTGGGAATTTCTCCTCTAAGGGCTGAGGCAGGGACCAGCCGGGGGTGGAAATCCCTCAGCTCCGGGGTTTTCTGGGAATTCTGCTCCCAGGAGGGACAGGGACAGCTCCGTGCTGAGAATTCCCGGAATTCCTGGGAATTCCCTATTCTGCCAAGGTCCCCGGGGATCCCGGAATTCTGTGGGTGGGGAGGGACCTGGAATCCCACCCAGGGACAATTCCCAGGGGCTCCGGGCTGGCCTGGGGCACTGCAGGGATGGGGCAGCCACGGATTCCCAGGAATTCTCCCCGGATTCCCGGGAATTCTCCCCGTGTCCACCCCAAGCTCTTCCCATGGAGCTTTGTTTTCCCAGATTTCGGGGGATTTCTGCAGATTTGAGTCGAATCCACCTTCGGCTTCCATGCCACAGCTGGGATTTTCCAGACAAAATCTCCCCCAGAAGGTGGAAAAATGAATGTAAAAACCCCAAAACAGGGAATTCCATAGAGAAATCCGTGGTT